CTGCCGCTGAAAAACATCTACACAGCATGATGCTGCCACCACCATGCTTCATCGAAGGGATGGTGCCAGGTTTCCTCCAGACGTGACGCTTGGCATTCAGGCCAAAGAGTTCAATCTTGGTTTCATCAGACCAGAGAATCTTGTTTCTCATGGTCTGAGAGTCTTTAGGTGCCTTTTGGCAAACTCAAAGCGGGCTGTCATGTGCCTTTTACTGAGGAGTGGCTTCCGTCTGGCCACTCTACCATAAAGTCCTGATTGGTGGAGTGCTGCAGAGATGGTTGTCCTTCTGGAAGTTTCTCCCATCTCCACAGAGGAACTCTGGAGCTCTATCAGAGTGACCATCGGGTTCTTGGTCACCTCCCTGAAAAAGGCCCTTTTCCCCCGATTGCTCCGTTTGGCCAGGCGGCCAGCTCTAGGAATCTTGGTGGTTCCAAACTTCTTCCATTTAAGAATGATGGAGGCCACTGTGTTCTTGGGGACCTTCAATGCTGCAGATATTTTTTGAACCCTTCCCCAGATCTGTGCCTCAACACAATCCTGTCTCTGGGCTCTACGGACAATTCCTTCTACCTCATGGCTTGTTTTTTGCTCTGACATGCACTGTCAACTGTGAGACCTTATATAGACAGGTGTGTGCCTTTCCAAATCATGTCCAATCAATTGACTTTACCACAGGTGGACTCCAATCATGTTGTAGAAACATCTCAAGGTTGATCAATGGAAACAGGATGCACCTGAGCTCAATTTCAAGACTCATAGCAAAGGGTCTGAATACTTATGTAAATAAGGTATTTCTGTTTTTAATACATTTGCAAAAATGTCAAAAAACCTGTTTTCGCTTTGTCGTTATGGATTGATGAGGATTTTTTATTTATTTAATGCATTTTATAATAAGGCTGTAATGTAACAAAATATGGAAAAAGTCAAGGGGTCTTAATACTTTGCAAATGCACTATAGATGTGGTAGTTGCAGCAGCAGATAAATATTTGGGAGATTTTTGTGCAGAAGATGTAAATGAAGTTTAGAGAGACTTCCTGGTGTAGGATCGTTTCGGGCCGAGCACTGGGATGGGGTGGTGGGTTTTGGAGGTAGGGTTAGATGCAATTTAACATTTTCCCATTCCCCTTTTCTCTTTTTTTTTGGTGACCGAAATGTCCAAACCGCACGCCGACCTGCGAAAGGCAGCAATACGCAACACAGCATCTGCCGGAAAGCCACACGAAGCAGAAGTAGGTCATGGCATATAACGTTTGTTTGCAGAACGCCATAGTACCATAGAAGAATAAGACCAGGAGCGTTTTATTCCATACGTTAAGACATCGTCGTAAGATTGGATTATTGTACCAGTGTTGAATGTCCAAACTGAAAGAGCTAACTAGCTATTATGTTAAATTAAGAATGATCTAAGGTAAAGTTGTTGCTTTGTTTGTTGAAACTGTCTCTGGGCAGTGACGGTTGTTAACATTAACTTGCTAGTTAGTTAGTTAAAACAGACCAAAGGGGGTTAGTTAGCTAATAGAAGTTGCTTGGTTGCCTTTTTGTGCAGATCATTCTATGCTTTATTCTGTTTGTGTCTAGCTAACAATGTTAAACATTGAACATAGGTACTATCTACCCACCTAGCTAGCTAACTTTAGCTAGATCGCTAGCTAGGTTAGGTAATGTTTGAACATTGATGCCTAGCTAGCAAACTATTTCATAAGATATAACTATACCCCCCCCATAAGATACACAGCTAGCTAGCTTGATAGGGCCTTCATTTTTTGTAACCAAATAAGTAACCTAGAACACTTTTAGAAACTATTTTAGTAACTATTTTAGTAATAATATTATGTTAGTAAATACCATTATAGTACTAAATAGCATTTTCATTGTTATGTTTTTTATCAAAACCTATGTACGTATTTGCTGTTTTTTAAAATTATTAGTTATTTTATGGTATTTATTATTGCAAGGCAGAACACTTGATTTTTTTTTTCAAATGTGGTTTGAACTGTGACCTATTAACCTGTCAGAAGGTGTAGGCAGCTTGGGAAAAACACTGGGGAAGCCAATTACAACCTATGTGTTGCGATAATTGCGTTGTTTGCTCTATAACCTGTTCATTAATATGCCTTGCGACCGTGATTTATATAGGCCTAAAGGCCGAGACAATAAGTATAAATTCAACCACACCTTTGTTTTATCACAAAACCGGAGAGCAACATCTGTCCAGTGAAGTCCTCAAAGCAAATTGCATGTAACAGACAGTTACATGACCGACAGCATGGTCAGGCAAGTTAATGTTTCCATAATTTAACCCTCCCGTTGTCCTAGGGTCAAAATGACCCGCCACTGTGTCGAACCAACTTTATTTAATTTTTATATTTTTTGGATCATTTGTGAGAAGGAGGCAGTGATACTTTCTTTAAAATATAAAAATATAAAAATTCAATAAATCTGGTTCAACACAGTGGCGGGTCATTTTGACCCTAGGACAACGGGAGGGTTAAAGACCACTAAACAACTATTGATTTAGAACCACAGAGATACCGCAGGTCGTAAAGAAAACAGGAGCTGCCTCCACTATTCCAGCACCATTTCAACTTCAACATTTCAACATCATCAAGTCACCTATGCTTAGTCTAATACAGTGACAACTTAAAGATACCAAAAACGATTTAATCTAATCAAAGTATGCTAAATATGATGTGGCTGTCCACATCATACACGTGCGCGTGTGCGTGTGTGTGTGTGTACGTGCACCTTCGTACAAGTAGAAAACATGTAGACTCACCCTACTGGTAGAGAACCGCCAATACCATCCTCCTCTCTTTCATGTTGACAAAAATGGTCTATCATGATGTCATACACTACAGGCTTTTATTTGTTGTTGTCCTAAGCAACCTGGCTAAAATGCTTGCTCGCTAGCCTAACTTTCGTTCATGGGCAATGTTAGCTAGTTAACATTAGCCTACTACGTCTAGCTACATATTGAACTTCCATCCTCTCAGTCCAGGGGCACAATGTATGAATTAATGGTTGGATCAGAATCGGCGTTATAATCATTGGCCAGTATGGAAAATTAACTAAAACGACAAGTCCAAATTTAGGAAAGGGCCAATTTTAGCTAGCTGGCTAGCTAGCCACCGGAGGACAACAACACAACCAGATGCAACAGTTTTTCTGTCAATGAAGTTATGCTCTCAGTGGGGTTTGATAGGAGTGACACCAAATCCAAGATGGCTTCCCTTGACACTTTGTTTGGTGCACCAGTAGAACTTGCTCAGTTTAGCTCAACGCTGATTGGCTAATGTTTTATACTTTTTTTAAATCAAGGGTGGCCAGATGCTCGCTGGCTTCCCTTGTCATCAATGCTACGGGCGGCAACATGTCTTACTCGTTTGTAACAGACAGTATCAGATAGATGGCCTACACGTAGAGAGACAGAGGGGGCGCTGTTTCGCTCGCTCGGGTGCTTTCTCCTGTGAGATACATTCAGCCTCTTGCGAATTGAAGGAAAATTATGAAACACAGAGAGACGAGAAGTATTTAATGTTTTTAGATTTTTTATTTGTCAATTTTTTGGGGGGAAGCCTGGCTTCCCTTGGCACCCATGAATACACGCCACTGGGGATAGGTGGGACAGGTGTGAGACTGATCTCAGGAATTAATAAGAAAAATGTATTTCTCAGCTGCCTCTCCAATGTCTTTATGTGAATTAATAACTTTTAGTTGTTCAATATTTCCAATAATTGGCAGCATAAGACCAGGAAGCATCATTAATAGTCTACAAGCAGCAATATGATTGAAATAAAAAAAGCATGCAACCAAAGACTGTATGTTCCATGATTTTCTAAAATGGTAACTCATTACTTTACAGTTAGCTACATATATATGTATACTGTCTATATATATATACACCATATTAGGCCTATGTTGCTTTTGGTAGAGCAAAACAAATGTACATCCTACATTTGAGTAATTTAGCAGACGCTCTTATCCAGAGCGACATACAGCTAGTGAGTGCATACATTTTTCATACTGGCCACACGTGGGAATCGAACCCACAACCCTGGCGTTGCAAGCGCCATGCTCTACCAACTGAGCTACAGGAGGCTACAAAGCAAAAGGCTTTCTATTCTATTGCTGGTATTCTATTATATACATATACATTCTATTGCTGATATTGAACCCCGGCCAAATGCTTACTAGTCAGATGGGCAAACCTAAACCCAGGTTTACCTGCATTTCAAAATATCTTTAATATCTTATATGTCAAGTGAACAGCCTTGGAGTACAAAAGGGTGCATCTTCCACGACCCGCCAAGAGATGACATCACGCAACCCTCACGGTTAGCAAATTACCTCAACATGCCCCTCGCTTGAGCGAGAAAGCAGAGCGGCTCAATGCTGGTTGATGAATTTGACAAAAGAATGTACTAGGAAAATACGTTTTTCTCGACCAGAGGTGACTGAATTAACGTTCAGGATTATTGATAATCGTTATTGAAATAGTAATTAACTATAATTTCTAAACATGAGCATAAAAACAGGTAATAATAAACATGAATCATCATTATATTAATTCACAGTAATCGGTTAAATGCGTTTTTAGTCCTTCCTCTTGCGTTAGCAGTGTGGAAAGGGACAGAAAAAAAGTTTGTGTGGGAGTTTTCCTGTGAGGGGAAGTGGTGTGCGCAGGGAGAAAACGTTAATTCATGGTCTTATGCTTCCATCTATTGGAATTATTTAACAATTGCAGTAGTACTGAATAACCTCTATGTCCTTACTAAGTGTATATCTTTACTAAAGTAGTAATTACTCAAAATAGTTGATTTTATCACTTACAACCCTAGAATAACCACACAAAAAAACGATTTCTTTAGATGGGTGACATTATCTGCCAAAGTAACACCTCCTTATCATATAAACACAGACACTGAAAATGAGCTTTTTTTATATAAATCTGGTAGCTCTTAAAAGAGCCTTTGCTTTGCTGAGCAGTTTGTTTTCAGGAGTGTGCCTGCCATCAGAGGAGTCTGTCTGTCTGCCTGCCTGCCATCAGAGGAGTCTGTCTGTCTGTCTGCCTGCCATCAGAGGAGTCTGCCTGCCTGCCTTCCTGCCTGCCTGCCTGCCATCAGAGGAGTCTGCCTGCCTGCCTTCCTGCCTGCCTGCCTGCCTGCCTGCCTGCCTGCCTGCCTGCCATCAGAGGAGTCTGCCTGCCTGCCTGCCTGCCATCAGAGGAGTCTGCCTGCCTGCCTGCCTGCCTTCCTGCCTGCCTGCCTGCCTGCCTGCCTGCCTGCCTGCCTGCCTGCCTGCCTGCCTGCCTGCCTGCCTGCCTGCCTGCCTGCCTGCCTGCCTGCCTGCCTGCCTGCCATCAGAGGAGTCTGTCTGCCTGCCTGCCATCAGAGGAGTCTGTCTGCCTGCCTGCCATCAGAGGTGTCTGCCTGCCTGCCTGCCATCAGAGGAGTCTGCCTGCCTGCCATCAGAGGAGTCTGCCTGCCTGCCATCAGAGGAGTCTGTCTGCCTGCCTGCCATCAGAGGAGTCTGCCTGCCTGCCATCAGAGGAGTCTGCCTGCCTGCCTGCCATCAGAGGAGTCTGCCTGCCTGCCATCAGAGGAGTCTGCCTGCCTGCCTGCCATCAGAGGAGTCTGCCTGCCTGCCTGCCATCAGAGGAGTCTGTCTGCCTGCCTGCCATCAGAGGAGTCTGCATGCCTGCCATCAGAGGAGTCTGCCTGCCTACCTGCCTGCCTGCCTGCCTGCCTGCCTGCCTGCCTGCCTGCCTGCCTGCCTGCCTGCCTGCCTGCCTGCCTGCCATCAGAGGAGTCTGTCTGCCTGCCTGCCATCAGAGGAGTCTGTCTGCCTGCCAGCCATCAGAGGAGTCTGTCTGCCTGCCTGCCATCAGAGGTGTCTGCCTGCCTGCCTGCCATCAGAGGAGTCTGCCTGCCTGCCATCAGAGGAGTCTGCCTGCCTGCCATCAGAGGAGTCTGCCTGCCTGCCATCAGAGGAGTCTGTCTGCCTGCCTGCCATCAGAGGAGTCTGCCTGCCTGCCATCAGAGGAGTCTGTATGCCTGCCTGCCATCAGAGGAGTCTGTCTGCCTGCCTGCCATCAGAGGAGTCTGTCTGTCTGCCTGCCTGCCATCAGAGGAGTCTGCCTGCCTGCCTTCCTGCCTGCCTGCCTGCCATCAGAGGAGTCTGCCTGCCTGCCTTCCTGCCTGCCTGCCTGCCTGCCTGCCTGCCTGCCTGCCATCAGAGGAGTCTGCCTGCCTGCCTGCCTGCCATCAGAGGAGTCTGCCTGCCTGCCTGCCTGCCTTCCTGCCTGCCTGCCTGCCTGCCTGCCTGCCTGCCTGCCTGCCTGCCTGCCTGCCTGCCTGCCTGCCTGCCATCAGAGGAGTCTGTCTGCCTGCCTGCCATCAGAGGAGTCTGTCTGCCTGCCTGCCATCAGAGGTGTCTGCCTGCCTGCCTGCCATCAGAGGAGTCTGCCTGCCTGCCATCAGAGGAGTCTGCCTGCCTGCCATCAGAGGAGTCTGTCTGCCTGCCTGCCATCAGAGGAGTCTGCCTGCCTGCCATCAGAGGAGTCTGCCTGCCTGCCTGCCATCAGAGGAGTCTGCCTGCCTGCCATCAGAGGAGTCTGCCTGCCTGCCTGCCATCAGAGGAGTCTGCCTGCCTGCCTGCCATCAGAGGAGTCTGTCTGCCTGCCTGCCATCAGAGGAGTCTGCATGCCTGCCATCAGAGGAGTCTGCCTGCCTACCTGCCTGCCTGCCTGCCTGCCTGCCTGCCTGCCTGCCTGCCTGCCTGCCTGCCTGCCTGCCTGCCTGCCTGCCTGCCATCAGAGGAGTCTGTCTGCCTGCCTGCCATCAGAGGAGTCTGTCTGCCTGCCAGCCATCAGAGGAGTCTGTCTGCCTGCCTGCCATCAGAGGTGTCTGCCTGCCTGCCTGCCATCAGAGGAGTCTGCCTGCCTGCCATCAGAGGAGTCTGCCTGCCTGCCATCAGAGGAGTCTGCCTGCCTGCCATCAGAGGAGTCTGTCTGCCTGCCTGCCATCAGAGGAGTCTGCCTGCCTGCCATCAGAGGAGTCTGTATGCCTGCCTGCCATCAGAGGAGTCTGCCTGCCTGCCTGCCATCAGAGGTGTCTGCCTGTCTGCCAACCATCAGAGGAGTCTGCCTGCCTGCCTGCCATCAGAGGAGTCTGTCTGCCTGCCTGCCATCAGAGGAGTCTGTCTGCCTGCCATCAGAGGAGTCTGTCTGCCTGCCTGCCATCAGAGGAGTCTGCCTGCCTGCCTGCCATCAGAGGAGTCTGCCTGCCTGCCTGCCATCAGAGGGTCTGCCTGCCTGCCATCAGAGGAGTCTGCCTGCCTGCCTGCCTGCCTGCCTGCCTGCCTGCCTGCCTGCCTGCCTGCCTGCCTGCCTGCCTGCCTGCCTGCCATCAGAGGAGTCTGCCTGCCTGCCATCAGAGGAGTCTGCATGTCTGCCTGCCATCAGAGGAGTCTGCCTGCCTGCCATCAGAGGAGTCTGCCTGCCTGCCTGCCATCAGAGGAGTCTGTTTCCCTGCCTGCCATCAGAGGAGTCTGTCTGCCTGCCTGCCATCAGAGGAGTCCGCCTGCCTGCCTGCCTGCCTGCCTGCCTGCCTGCCTGCCTGCATGTCTGCCTGCCTGCCTGCCTGCCATCAGAGGAGTCTGCCTGCCTGCCATCAGAGGAGTCTGCATGTCTGCCTGCCTGCCATCAGAGGAGTCTGCCTGCCTGCCATCAGAGGAGTCTGTCTGCCTGCCATCAGAGGAGTCTGCCTGCCTGCCTGCCATCAGAGGAGTCTGGCTGCCTGCCTGCCATCAGAGGAGTCTGCCTGCCTGCCATCAGAGGAGTCTGCCTGCCTGCCTGCCATCAGAGGAGTCTGCCTGCCTGCCATCAGAGGAGTCTGTCTGCCTGCCATCAGAGGAGTCTGCCTGCCTGCCATCAGATGAGTCTGCCTGCCTGCCTGCCATCAGAGGAGTCTGCATGTCTGCCTGCCATCAGAGGAGTCTGTCTGCCTGCCATCAGAGGAGTCTGTCTGCCTGCCATCAGAGGAGTCTGCCTGCCTGCCATCAGATGAGTCTGCCTGCCTGCCTGCCATCAGAGGAGTCTGCATGTCTGCCTGCCATCAGAGGAGTCTGTCTGCCTGCCATCAGAGGAGTCTGCCTGCCTGCCTGCCATCAGAGGAGTCTGTCTGCCTGCCATCAGAGGAGTCTGCCTGCCTGCCATCAGAGGAGTCTGTCTGCCTGCCTGCCTGCCATCAGAGGAGTCTGCCTGCCTGCCTGCCATTAGAGGAGTCTGCCTGCCTGCCTGCCTGCCTGCCATCAGAGGAGTCTGCCTGCCTGCCTGCCTGCCTGCCATCAGAGGAGTCTGCCTGCCTGCCTGCCATTAGAGGAGTCTGCCTGCCTGCCTGCCATCAGAGGAGTCTGCCTGCCTGCCTGCCATCAGAGGAGTCTGCCTGCCTGCCTGCCATTAGAGGAGTCTGCCTGCCTGCCTGCCATCAGAGGAGTCTGCCTGCCTGCCATCAGAGGAGTCTGCCTGCCTGCCATTAGAGGAGTCTGCCTGCCTGCCATTAGAGGAGTCTGCCTGCCTGCCTGCCATCAGAGGAGTCTGTCTGCCTGCCATCAGAGGAGTCTGCCTGCCTGCCATCAGAGGAGTCTGCCTGCCTGCCTGCCTGCCATTAGAGGAGTCTGTCTGCCTGCCTGCCTGCCATTAGAGGAGTCTGCCTGCCTGCCATTAGAGGAGTCTGCCTGCCTGCCTGCCATCAGAGGAGTCTGCCTGCCTGCCTGCCATCAGAGGAGTCTGCCTGCCTGCCATCAGAGGAGTCTGCCTGCCTGCCATTAGAGGAGTCTGCCTGCCTGCCTGCCATCAGAGGAGTCTGCCTGCCTGCCTGCCATCAGAGGAGTCTGCCTGCCTGCCATTAGAGGAGTCTGCCTGCCTGCCTGCCATTAGAGGAGTCTGCCTGCCTGCCATTAGAGGAGTCTGCCTGCCTGCCTGCCATCAGAGGAGTCTGCCTGCCTGCCTGCCATCAGAGGAGTCTGCCTGCCTGCCTGCCATTAGAGGAGTCTGCCTGCCTGCCTGCCATCAGAGGAGTCTGCCTGCCTGCCATCAGAGGAGTCTGCCTGCCTGCCATTAGAGGAGTCTGCCTGCCTGCCATTAGAGGAGTCTGCCTGCCTGCCTGCCATCAGAGGAGTCTGCCTGCCTGCCATCAGAGGAGTCTGCCTGCCTGCCTGCCTGCCTGCCATTAGAGGAGTCTGTCTGCCTGCCTGCCTGCCATTAGAGGAGTCTGTCTGCCTGCCTGCCTGCCATTAGAGGAGTCTGCCTGCCTGCCATTAGAGGAGTCTGCCTGCCTTCCTGCCATCAGAGGAGTCTGCCTGCCTGCCTGCCATCAGAGGAGTCTGCCTGCCTGCCATCAGAGGAGTCTGCCTGCCTGCCATTAGAGGAGTCTGCCTGCCTGCCTGCCATCAGAGGAGTCTGCCTGCCTGCCTGCCATCAGAGGAGTCTGCCTGCCTGCCATCAGAGGAGTCTGCCTGCCTGCCATTAGAGGAGTCTGCCTGCCTGCCTGCCATTAGAGGAGTCTGCCTGCCTGCCATTAGAGGAGTCTGCCTGCCTGCCATTAGAGGAGTCTGCCTGCCTGCCATTAGAGGAGTCTGCCTGTCTGCCTGCCATCAGAGGAGTCTGTCTGCCTGCCATCAGAGGAGTCTGCCTGCCTGCCTGCCATCAGAGGAGTCTGTCTGCCTGCCATCAGAGGAGTCTGCCTGCCTGCCATCAGAGGAGTCTGTCTGCCTGCCTGCCTGCCATCAGAGGAGTCTGCCTGCCTGCCTGCCATTAGAGGAGTCTGCCTGCCTGCCTGCCTGCCTGCCATCAGAGGAGTCTGCCTGCCTGCCTGCCTGCCTGCCATCAGAGGAGTCTGCCTGCCTGCCTGCCATTAGAGGAGTCTGCCTGCCTGCCTGCCATCAGAGGAGTCTGCCTGCCTGCCTGCCATCAGAGGAGTCTGCCTGCCTGCCTGCCATTAGAGGAGGCTGCCTGCCTGCCTGCCATCAGAGGAGTCTGCCTGCCTGCCATCAGAGGAGTCTGCCTGCCTGCCATTAGAGGAGTCTGCCTGCCTGCCATTAGAGGAGTCTGCCTGCCTGCCTGCCATCAGAGGAGTCTGTCTGCCTGCCATCAGAGGAGTCTGCCTGCCTGCCATCAGAGGAGTCTGCCTGCCTGCCTGCCTGCCATTAGAGGAGTCTGTCTGCCTGCCTGCCTGCCATTAGAGGAGTCTGCCTGCCTGCCATTAGAGGAGTCTGCCTGCCTGCCTGCCATCAGAGGAGTCTGCCTGCCTGCCTGCCATCAGAGGAGTCTGCCTGCCTGCCATCAGAGGAGTCTGCCTGCCTGCCATTAGAGGAGTCTGCCTGCCTGCCTGCCATCAGAGGAGTCTGCCTGCCTGCCTGCCATCAGAGGAGTCTGCCTGCCTGCCATTAGAGGAGTCTGCCTGCCTGCCTGCCATTAGAGGAGTCTGCCTGCCTGCCATTAGAGGAGTCTGCCTGCCTGCCTGCCATCAGAGGAGTCTGCCTGCCTGCCTGCCATCAGAGGAGTCTGCCTGCCTGCCTGCCATTAGAGGAGTCTGCCTGCCTGCCTGCCATCAGAGGAGTCTGCCTGCCTGCCATCAGAGGAGTCTGCCTGCCTGCCATTAGAGGAGTCTGCCTGCCTGCCATTAGAGGAGTCTGCCTGCCTGCCTGCCATCAGAGGAGTCTGCCTGCCTGCCATCAGAGGAGTCTGCCTGCCTGCCTGCCTGCCATTAGAGGAGTCTGTCTGCCTGCCTGCCTGCCATTAGAGGAGTCTGTCTGCCTGCCTGCCTGCCATTAGAGGAGTCTGCCTGCCTGCCATTAGAGGAGTCTGCCTGCCTTCCTGCCATCAGAGGAGTCTGCCTGCCTGCCTGCCATCAGAGGAGTCTGCCTGCCTGCCATCAGAGGAGTCTGCCTGCCTGCCATTAGAGGAGTCTGCCTGCCTGCCTGCCATCAGAGGAGTCTGCCTGCCTGCCTGCCATCAGAGGAGTCTGCCTGCCTGCCATCAGAGGAGTCTGCCTGCCTGCCATTAGAGGAGTCTGCCTGCCTGCCTGCCATTAGAGGAGTCTGCCTGCCTGCCATTAGAGGAGTCTGCCTGCCTGCCATTAGAGGAGTCTGCCTGCCTGCCATTAGAGGAGTCTGCCTGTCTGCCTGCCATTAGAGGAGTCTGCCTGCCTGCCATTAGAGGAGTCTGCCTGTCTGCCTGCCATTAGAGGAGTCTGCCTGCCTGCCATCAGAGGAGTCTGCCTGCCTGCCTGCCATCAGAGGAGTCTGCCTGCCTGCCTGCCATGTCATCAGAGGAGCAGATCTGTGAATAATAAAAAGGGCTAGTTCAAACTACAAAATGTTAAACACAAAAAGGCAAATGGTAGCAGATAAATGGTAAGCTGGTTAAATAAAATATTTTTTGGGAAAATAGGGACATGTCTGTATCTATTTTGCCAAATATCTCAAAATGTGTGTATTGATATGGTTTGAAGTTCTATACCATTTTCATCAGGATAACCTATTCTTTCTAATGATGTAAGTTTGGGCAGCGTACAAGGCTGTGACCAATTACTGGTAGTTAAAAATGTACTCCTGGAACTCTGAGGTCTTCCCATTGTTTACTATAGGGGATATAGAGGTATGTCTGTTTATTTCACAACATATCTCAAAATGTGTATATTTAGTTTTTTTCAAGTCAGACACCATTTTAACCATGAGAATCTCCTCTTTCTAATGACATAAGGCTGGGCAGTGTACTCTGCTTTCATCGATCTCTAGACCAGAAATAGTCAGAAGGTACATTTTACAACCTCTCTGGATTACAACCAAATTATGATAAATGTACTATATTACGTATTGGATCACTAAAAAATACAATTTTTACATTACCATGAAGTTTACCAATAAAATGGTCTGATGGTGATGTGGATATACTTGGAATACATATCCCAAAGGAAATACATGATCTCACTCCAATAAATGTTAATAGAAAGTTAGCAAAAATAGATAAGATCTTGCTACCATGGAAAGGTAAATACCTGTCAATTTGTGGAAAAATCACCCTGATTAACTCTTTTGTATTATCCCAGTTTACCTATTTGCTTATGGTCTTGCCTACGCCTAGTGAACAGTTTTTTTAATTATATGAGAAAAAAGTATTCCATTTTATTTGGAACGGCAAGCCAGACAAAATTAAACGGGCCTATTTATATAATGAATATGAATTCGGAGGACAGAAATTATTAAATATTAAAGCATTAGACCTCTCACTAAAGGCTTCAGTCATACAAAAGTTATACTTAAATCCGAACTGGTTCTCTAGCAAATTAGTAAGATTGTCTCACCCAATGTTCAAGAATGGCCTTTTTCCCTTTATTCAGATTACAACCTCTCACTTTCAGTTATTTGAAAAGGAATTCATCTCCCAAATATCACTATTTCTAAAACAAGCCATAGAAAGTTGGTTAAAATTTCAATTTAATTGTCACGATCGTCGTAGGATTGAGTAGACCAAGGCGCAGCGTTGCAAGCAAACATATTCTTGAATAAGTGAAACACGATCAAAACAAACAAAGACGATAACGTGACAGTACACGGTGAAACTAAACTAACTCGAAACAAGAACCCACAAAACCAAAGGAAAAACCGACAGATTAAATATGGCTCCCAATCAGAGACAACCAGCCGACAGCTGACACTCGTTGCCTCTGATTGGGAGTCACACCGGCAAACATAGAAAATCGACAACCTAGAACACCCACCGAAGAAACAGAAAACATAGAATGAACACACCCTGGCTCAACATAATGAGTCCCCGAGCCAGGGTGTGACAGTACCCCCCCCCTAAAGGCGCGGACTGCGACCGCGCCTAAATACGAGCAAAACAGGGGAGGGCTGGGTGGGCATTCCTCCTCGGCGGCGGCTCCGGCTCCGGGCTTGATCCCCACTTCCTCTCCAACCCCCCAAAGTACTCCTGGTCCTGTCTAGCCCCGCTGGCCGGAGCCGGACTGACGACACGCGCCCCTGGCTTGGTGCGTGGAACAGGAACGGACCGGACCGGGCTGACGATACACACCCCTGGCTTGGTGCGTGGAGCAGGAATGGACCGGAATGGGCTGGCGACGCGCACCACCGACTTGGTGCGGAGAGCAGGAACGAGCCGGACAGGGCTGAAGAGACGCACCACAGACTTGGTGCGGGGAGCAGGAACAGGCCGGACCGGGCTGGCGACGCGCACCACAGGTTTGGCGCGGGGAGAAGGAACAGGCCGGGCCGGACTGGCGACGCGCACCACAGACTTGGTGCGGAGAGCAGGAACGAGCCGGACAGGGCTGACGAGACGCACCACAGGCTCGATGCGAGGAACAGGAACAGGCCAGACCGTACTGGGGACACACACCACTGGCCCTACGCAGGGATCAGGAACGGGCCGGACCGGACTGGTAACACACCCCAGTACCTCTCGCCGTGCCTCCACACTTTCCCTCTCCTCTGTGACCAGTGGCCCCCTTAACCTGGCGGCCTCCTCTTCACACCCGCTGGATCGCTCCATCGCGGCCTCCTGCTGCCCCGTCGTCCACGTCGTGAGCCCCCCCCTAAAAAATTTCTGGGGTTCTCTCCTCCCCGTGGACCAGGCCTCCCTAGCTCTCGCCAGACTCTCGATCCATTGCTTCATAGACCAGCCTCTCTCCTCTTCACTTAGCGTGGCCCAGCCGAAACTCCTACTCCCCTGATCCCAGGTCCTTCCTCTCTCCTCTTCACGCTGCTTGGTCCAGTTTTGGTGGGTTCTTCTGTCACGATCGTCGTAGGATTGAGTAGACCAAGGCGCAGCGTTGCAAGCAAACATATTCTTTAATAAGTGAAACACGATCAAAACAAACAAAGACGATAACGTGACAGTACACGGTGAAACTAAACTAACTCGAAACAAGAACCCACAAAACCAAAGGAAAAACCGACAGATTAAATATGGCTCCCAATCAGAGACAACCAGCCGACAGCTGACACTCGTTGCCTCTGATTGGGAGTCACACCGGCAAACATAGAAAATCGACAACCTAGAACACCCACCGAAGAAACAGAAAACATAGAATGAACACACCCTGGCTCAACATAATGAGTCCCCGAGCCAGGGTGTGACATTAATCCTCTAGAAACGACAGAACAAATAATGCAACAAATATTGTGGTTAAACTCAAATATACTAATTGATAAAAAATAAATAAATTAAAATAACAAAACCGGATGGACATCATGAAAATGATCTGAGAGGTTGAGGGTTAGGGTTGAGGAAGTTCAGGAGTAAAAACAAACTAAATAGAATTAGTGTCCATAAAATGAATACAGTATGTATAAGCTGGAAGTAGAGGCCTAAGCGTTGGTGGGGAAGGGGTGGTGGGGTTGGAAAGTAATAAAGGGAAATACAATTTTTAAAATGATATGTATATGTATTTATATGTATGTATGTGTGTATGTATGTGTATATGTATATATATATATATATATTTGCGAGAAAAAAAAAACATATGGGGGATTGGAAGTGATGCAGACAATTACATTGATGGAAGTTACAATCTATCTGCAATATAAAAGCTGATCTACCCCCCCAAAAAAAGAAAAAAAAAAAGAAAAAAAAAAGAAGACATAGTCAGAAGTTGCCATTTTTTTTCTACTTCCTCATTACGCAGACATAAGCACACTTGGCACCATCGAGGTGCGTATGTTTACATTCTACAAGAGTTGTTATTTTTCAGTTTTGTCCTATGAACAGATTTTTGTGGTAAAATAAAAAGGGAGACATTTTTTGGTGCCATTTAGGGAAAATGGAATTCTAAGGATCACTCCAGTCAGAAGAGGCTACGTGATGGTTAGTTTAAAATAATTTGCTATGGCCTCGTGCTAATGTTCCAGCTCAACCAACATTTTTCAGCCTTGGGTGAATTTTGACTCGTTCTATTGTCCAGCCTAGTCTAGGTCCTAAAAGTTATGACATTTGATAGGATGAAGAAACAATACTCCAAGCTGCAGCTCTATACTATTTGTCAAATATAGAGAACTAATACAATATACTCGTTGTTGGCGTGGGATTGGCATGGGGTGTGCTGTAGGTGGTCTCTGGGTGACTTTTGACAATTTCTTTGGATTCCTCATGTCTAACTCATTGTCCAAATCGGATGTTAGGTATTTATTTAATATTATATGAAACCTATCCATTTAAATTGGCAATTTGGGTGCAATCAATTAGCTTAATTTCACAGATATCAAATTATATTTAAACAAAATAATGTTGCAGGAATGCTAATCTTATCTGTTTCTAACAACAGAAACAATTTGAGAACAATCTGAGATGCTGGGTGTCTAGCCTCTTTAAGGTGGAATGACCCCAACAGACAGTAAGAGGACTCCCATGGTATAGAATCCATTCAGGTGTATTTTGTGGCTTTTGGCGAATGCTTTCTAATGATCTAAAGCCGCGCTGTTGCTACTGCCTGTAAACACACCGTCCAGTTTAAAGTGAACGATGTCAGGCCCATGTAGCAAATGGCTTATTTGCATATAGGCCTACAGTAGCTCTGATTGGCTATGATGCACCGGTCTGCGTAGACTCCAGTCCTGGACGAGACAGATGTTTTTATGAGGTTTTATTTACTGCAGTGTCTATTAATTGTCCAAACACACGGCCGCTTTCCCATTTTATATTGATGTAGAATTTTCACAAATGCCTTAATATACGTCATTCCCAAACATTCTAAGAATTTATGTAAAAGTGAAAATGACCAGATCTACGTGCTAGCTTGTCTGAACATATTCCACTTGAATAGGATCTCTATGGGTTAGGGGTCAGGGGTTAGGCTATGTGTCCTACCTCCATTAGCGTCAGGCTTGGTGTTCTAGGGGTTAGGGTTAAGGGCAGGGGTCAGGGGTCAGGGGTCAGGCTATATGTCCTACCTCCGTTAGCTTGGTGTTCTAGGGGTTAGGGTTAAGGGTTGGGGTCAGGGGTCAGGGGTTAGGCTATATGTCCTACCTCCGTTAGCTTGGTGTTCTAGGGGTTAGGGTTAAGGGTAGGGGTCAGGGGTCAGGGGTTAGGCTATGTGTCCTACCTTCATTAGCGTCAGGCTTGGTGTTCTAGGGGTTAGGGTTAAGGGCAGGGGTCAGGGGTCAGGGGTCAGGCTATATGTCCTACCTCCGTTAGCTTGGTGTTCTAGGGGTTAGGGTTAAGGGTAGGGGTCAGGGGTCAGGGGTCAGGGGTTAGGCTATGTGTCCTACCTTCATTAGCGTCAGGCTTGGTGTTCTAGGGGTTAGGGTTAAGGGCAGGGGTCAGGGGTCAGGGGTCAGGCTAT